GCGTGCGAGTCGTGTGTGTGCGGGTGCGTGTTTCAGGGGCATGCGCGACTCTGCGTACCGGTTGGTTTTGTCCCGCGGAGCACAAGAGTGTGTGCCCGGGGCACCCCTGCTTGCGACAAGCCTGCCATGCAAAACTTGGGAGCCATGTTTGACCGGGCTACCGCCGCCCACCCCAGGCGCACGCGCTGGTGGGGAGCGCGAGTACCAATCGTCGCACCCGGGGGGGACCAAACCCATCACTTTTTCTTGGCGCTTGGGTCCCAGAGGCAGCCGCGCCAGCAATGCAATCGCGCCGCACCCACCCCACCGAGCCTGGAAGCACCTCGGCTGCCGTACTGCAGCAACAGCGGCATTAGCATCGACCGCTCACCTTCCAGTAATCCCCGTAACGCCGATCAGTAGCACAGTGTCGTCAGGGCTGATGCCCGCCGCCGTGTTCTTTGCTGCGCTCATCATGACGCCAACCCGGGCCGAACTGCCTGAAAGCGGCACACAGGATCGATGTTTCGCATGAGGGCGAATAACGTGAGATTGTATCGGGAGCGGGCGCCCACAGGGCCGAGTGATGAGAGTGTTGGCGCGCATGGGTGTTGAGGTGGATCGCACAGTCAGGAAGTAAGGCAGATTAAGGAATGGCGAATTATCTTCTCGCTCGATCTCATTCTGCTCGCGATCTCGAGAGTGCTCCGCGATGTCAGGTACCTGACTGGGTGCCACGTGGTTACACAGTGTTTCATGCCGCGTCGCGCTTTGCAGAGCCCATATAGGGCTGTATAATGTTGAAATTTCGATCGACTATATGGAAATTGCAAGCCTCAGGACCGGACCAATGCTTTTGCCCACATCAGCACGCATGGCGCACCTCGGACCTGCGCGCAATCATGCCGCATGCACAGTGCGCGCGTCGACGCCTTGGGCACGCCACCCGCACACGCGACCTATCGTAGCCCGAAACCGCCAGGTGACAATGCGGCCGCCCGCTTCATTGGGCCGCCCCCATCTGAAGCCGTCGCCAACACTCCCACGCGCCCCGGGCTCCCCTGCACAGACCGCAACGCGCCTCAACGCACGGCACGCGCCTCCTTTACGCACCTCGCACAGGCTCCGTGGCGGCTGCAAACTGCGCGCCGCTCCGCCCCGCGGGATGTGCAGACCACCCCCACCGCCGCCGTCCCCGCTGTGGAGCAGCCCCCGGCCATGGAGGCCCCTCCAGTTCAAGACGCCGTCAGCACCCAGTGAGCGCGCTGCCCCGCCGGCAGCCCAGAACCCGACGCATCTTGGTAGCTTGGACTTGAACGCAGCCTGGCACCTCATTGAAGGGCCGCACCCCTGCTGCAACACCCTCAGGTGGCCAAATCGCGCCGGCGAAAGCCGACGCGCCGGGAATGCGCTCCCCGAACAGCAGGCTCCCGCACCGCCACGCGTCCACCCCCGCAGGCAGCACGGCAGCGCCGGCGAGCCCGCAGCGGCACCTGCAGCCGCGGCACCACCGCAGGTGCCGCGGCTGCATGCGGTCGTGGTCGGCGCTGGGCCTGCGGGCGTGACGGCAGCCATTTTCCTGGCGAGGAGGGGCTGGAAGGTAGGAAATGCTCGTGTCCCCGCGCCGACTGGGCCTTCACAGCAGCAGCTCGCGCCGCATGCGTGCGGCAGCGCCGGCCATCATATGGCCGCCGGGCCGTGCGCCGTCCCTTCTGTCAGCCTTGTGCTTGGGGCTTTGTCGGTCTGGGTGGAGGCGACTGCGGCTCAGCCCTGCCCTCACCTGATTCATAGGTGGATGTCTACGAGCGCCGCCCCGAGGGCAGCCCCTCCGACGCGCGCCGCACGTACCTGATTGGACTTGGTAGGTCAAGCGGATGGTTCCACCTTGACTGCTGCAGGCGGGCTGGGGGAATTTGGGAGCGAGAGCCTCCTCAGCCCTCCTGAGGGACCTTCCCACGGTTTGGATAAGGAAGCAATGCGCTGTTGCCTCCCGCTTCCGTTGCCGTTGCATGATGCTCGCCCGTGCGGGCGGCGGGGCCGCAACGACCCTGAGCGGGCCTGGGCGCTAGCTGACAGCAACAGTCGCCCCGCGGCGGCGCAGGGGAGCGCGGCCTGCGCGCCTTGGAGGCCGCGGGCGTGTCGCTGCCCGGGGAGGACGGCGGCCGGCGCCTGCTGGGCAGCGTATACGCAACGCCGACCAAGCGCTTCGAAGACGTGTGGTCGGAGAGAGCGCGCATCGGTGAGTCATTAATGATGCTTGGAGTGTACCACCTCTGGGGGTTGCGTCCGAGATCAGGCGCTGCGGCACGGCTGTCGGCAAGCGTGCTGCTGAGGATGCAGCCGCGCGCGCACATACCAAGAGACTGGGCTGCCCGTGGCGCTGCACTGCAGAGCCAAAGCAGGCGCGAGGGGCTGACGCCGCCGCGGCGGCGCGCACCGCCCACAGCAGCGCCGAGCCTCGCGCAGCCCTCGCCCTCCTGCTGAGAGCGAGGCGCCCAGCTGCCTTGGTCCCACACGAGCCTTGCCCCTTTTCCACCACTGCTGCCGAGCGGCGATCGTCATTGACACACGCGCCCCGCTCCACTTTTGCGCCCGACCCTCCTCAGTGGGCGTCGACCGGGCGTCGCTGACGTCAGACCTCGTCACGGCGGCGCGCCAGGGCTACCCCGAACTCATCTCCTTCCACTTCGAATCCCGCCTCCTGCGCATCGACTTCACCGGACGCCGCCTAGTGATGGCGTGAGGCCCCCGGCATGCGACTTATGTCGGCGCCAGTGTGCGCGTCCTCGCGCGCTGCCTTGCTCGCAGCGTCCCCTCCATCCGGACGTCTCTCCGCGGCGCGCCGCCGGCGGGCCCAGCAGCCAGCCTGTCGCGGCGCTCGCCTCACGGCTGCTCCGTCTCAGCGCCCCGCACCAACCTTTTTCCAGCCCGACGTCACACAAAAGCTCAAGCAACCCTACACAATCGCACACAAATCCCATACTGTACACGCACACGCGTGCGACACCGCATCAACGCCTCCACCCCTGCGCCCACACAGGGCACCAGGGACACCCCAGGGCTTCCAGGCGCTGCCCTATGATTTGCTGGTCGGCGCGGACGGCGCCCGCAGCTGGGTGCGCGGTGATTTGATCGTGGCAGGGCAGCAAAGGGGCTGGGCGTCCGTCAGCGGCAGCCGGGCCGGCGCTTCCCACCACTTTGTCGCGTCGCGGCCGGCGCTTGTGCAGGAGGCGTGGGTGCATGCCCTGCCTTGCCTCTGTTCATGAGGGCACTGGATGTGCCGACTCACTGGCTTGGAAGTGGGAGCACCCAATGGCTCTGTGACCGAAGACCTGCCAATCATCTTGCCCTCATGCGTTTCGAGTGGCTGTGCTCCCAGGTGCTTCGCCCATCCTCATTTTATGTTGATATATCCCTGAATATATCGTGGCTCCACTGTGACCCCCCGCCTGCTCGTGCCGCCCACGCACCCTCTGAGTTCCCCGCACCTGCCTTGGCCCTCGATCGTGTCCCGCAGGTGCGCTCCGAGATGTCGTGCGCGCTGAGGGGCATGCTGGTGGTGCCCCTGAGCAGCCCAGTGGCTTCGATGGAGTTCAAAGTGTTCCATGATCTGGAGGACTGCCCCGAGATCCAGGCCAAGCTGCCGGCGGCTGCCAAGTGAGTGGGGAGAGGTGGGGCTGTGTGTGTGTGTGTGTGCGCGCGTGCGCGTGCGCGTGTGCGTGTGCGTGTGCG